TGCTAAAGTTTTCAAACTTAAGCTGTGTACAAATTGTCTCCGTTCCCGTCATAATACACGTCAGTGCACCTCAGGGTCATGTCGCGAATGCAAGGGACATCACAACACGTTACACAAAACTACATAGTAACGATTCTTTGTCATCACATTTAAATAACAATTCATCTTCTCAGACGGCAGAAGATGAACTAAGCGTCAATTTTTCTAGACAACCTTTTACGCATGTCACGCTGTCAATAGTAATGATTGAAGTCATGAATCCAGTCAATTTGAAAACTGAAACTATACGTGCTCTGTTAGACAGTGGCAGTCAATCTAGCTTCTTAACTCAATCTTTAAAAAATAGATTAGGATTGGAATCCATACCCACGAATCTTAATATTGTAGGTTTAGGGAACGTAGCTAGTAATCATATCGACGAGCGGTGTCAAATAAAATTTAATTCACTACAAAATGATTAATTGACTATAGTGTTTTTCTCACGTGTTTTATCATGCCTGAGCTAACGGGCAATCTTCCTAAGTCTTACATAGACTACAGACAATTTAATTTGCCTCCACATATTAAACTAGCTGATCCTAATTTCTATACTTCAGCGCCTATTGATGCATTAATAGGTGCAGATTTATTTTGGGAGATTATAGGGAGGGAACAAAAATCATTAGGCGTAAATAAAACATTTTTCGCAGTTCACAGTTCGGATGGATAGTTTTCGGTCCTATTTTATTGAACTGTGATTCAAATTCAATTAATTGCAAATTTTATGTCGAAGCTATCTCATTTTCTAAAAACTTATCTCGTTATATCTGATTTTGCCGTTGACGAACAAAGAAAATTTCACTTTATTCCCGCCTACGCTCCTCACTTTGGTGGCTTATGGGAAGCAGGAATTAAATCCGCAAAAATTTCATATCAAAAGAATTATTGGCAATAATAATTTAACTTTTGAAGAGTTAACTTGGCTTTTAGCACAAGTGGAAGCTATATTAAATAGCCGTCCTCTATATCCCATGTCCAACTCTCCTAACGATTTACTTCCTCTCTCCCAGGGCACTTTCTGATTGGTCGGCCGTTGACTGCTTTGCCTTCTCCGAACATTGAAGACTGCAGCCCCAACAGCCCCAACCGCTACATGCACTTGGAACAAATAAGACAGCACTTTTAGCGTCGCTGGCAGCGTGAATACATCAGCAAGCTACAGCACCGAATCAAATGGCGCTCCAATCATGAAAAGCTACGCATCGGTGACATGGTTATCCTTCAAGAAGACAATGCCGTCCCTTTGCATTGGCAATTGGGACGAGTCACGCTTCTTCACCCTGGGCCTGACTAACTAACTAACGATAGTCTACATAAATTTGTAATCCTTTTTTATCTATGTACATACGTCACTTCCTTTTTATTTCAAATTTGCATATCATTCCGCTACGATTTCTTGTCTTAGTAACATCTGTATGTTCAGATAAAAGTATTTAGAAAAACCAAATAAGTTTTCTCTAACCTGTCTAAATGCCGAACAATTATTAAATGGTCAAAGTTTTGCGAGCCATGAGAGAACGTCTCTATAACATATTAACAGACAGGGAGGTATTATTATTATTGAAACAGACAGAATTATACAGATATCTGAATGAAAAGAAATATATAAAAGTTCTTCTCATAATTATTATTAAAATAAATAACAACATTGTTAAACTCTTTCTTGATTCTCGCATTAAAAGATTCTTATTCTTCTTAGAAGACTTAATCTAAACATTGATTTATTGGAACGACCTTAAATTTGTGTCTGAGTCATAGACTAACCTTAAGTTAGTAATTACTTCACACCATTGTTAAGTTCTTCTTTACCTAGTACGTATCAAAAAGAAACATTGTTGTATGACAGTGGGAAGTCTGAAAGAATGTTACAGTCACTTACATTGTATTTTAATAGATATAACTTTACTTTTACAGTGGGCAGAGTATGGAGTTACATTTATATTGTAGAACCTAGTTATAATATTGTTCTTTATATATAAAATACTACATGTATTTAAATATATATTTTTTTGTAGTTATCTTGTTATTGAAATTAAAGTATTAATATATTAGTATGAGAAACTTTATCCTATGAGGAAGTTTAATTATACTTGTAGAAGGTGACGTCTCGCTTGTAAAGTTACTAAAGTTAAAGGGACATAATGAAAATCTTGAGATTAAAATAAATTGTTTTTGTATAAAGAATGTTACAAATAAACATACATCTCTTACGAGACTTGTCCTTCATTTGATGTTTTTTGTATAACAAAACACCATTTCATAACATTTGTATTCTGAAAGTTCAGTGTAACCATTCTTAAATATTCTATGACGTTCTTACTCGTGAATAAATTCTAAAATGTTTTATAAGACATACACTTTATTTAATGATTTCTCTATTATTTATATATATCAAATATATAACTTGGAAACTTTGTATTGATTGTATGACATGTTATTTATTTTAATAAAACTTTATTTATGTTTTTGATTCAATATTTTTCTGAAAAAAACATTCTTGTATTGAAAGACCTCAAGAGCTCCATGTAAAAGTGTTTGCAGAATATATTCCAACTTCATTTTATATTCAAAAATACTCGTACAACCTCCTCAGTATTAACTGACGTTGTGAGTATAACACTTAATGGAAACACTCTCGATTGTTTTGAACTCTTGATGATTCTGTATAATAATATAAAGGTATCTCTTTGATATGAATCATTTAATATTTAAAGTATCGTATTTACATTACTTTTGAAATTATGTTAACGAAAATTTAGTTATAGTGATGATATGAAGTGAAACGGGAGGACAATAATTATACACACTTTAGTTTAATCTGGCGTTTATTACTTTTCACACAATCCCGTAGGTACACTATCAGAGATTCCTCTAGCACTCCGTCACGAGAGAGATCCTCTCCTTCCAGGGTATCTTCTCTCAATCCCCCTGCAATTCCAAAATTAAACGAGGTGACGCCACTGACGCTCTCGCTGATTGGTCAAACGCTATGATTGGCTAAGCTCTGTGATTGGCTAAGACAGTTTCGGCGGCATACTGTCATGGCAATACTTCCGCCTGGCTCAGGCGGTGGCTTGGCTGGGCTTGGCATGGCATGGCACTTATGGCATGGCGTTACAGTCGGCCATCCTACAATAATTGCTCCCGCAATGGTTATTAGCTTTCCAGAAGATCAATTAAGTCTTCCGTCTCCAATTGCTCATCGGAACTGCTGGCACTGTCAGATACAGGAGCTACGCTATGATAGGGTCGCAGACTATCGCCAGAGACTAGACCCGTAAAGTTTTTATAACCTCTTAGACCCTTAATGCTTCTAATCCTGTATCTGTCATTACCAATACACTTAATGATAATATAAGGTCCGGAATATAAGTCATCTAGTTTAGTATTAACCTTAGCAGCACTACTTGTAGGAGCTTTTTTCCATAAAACTAGGTCTCCTCTTTTGTAAATATGACAGGCTTTACGTCGTTTATCAAAGTAACGTTTTATCTTAATACTGGCCTTTTTAATACGTTTATTAGCTTTCTCACGCCTTGACTGAATAGATTCAGGTATACGACCTGGTATTGTTACATCACACACAGGCCTAGCACTACGCGCGAACACTAAGTCGTAAGGCTTAATACCCGTGGTATCATTTATGGTATTATTTATACCCCAAATGATATCAGGCAAACAATTAGACCAGTTATTAGCAGCTTCACTAGGGTCGGTAGCGCGCAATGCATCGAGTATAGTCCTATTTGTTCGTTCGACTTGACCGTTAGCACGCGGGCACGCTATTGCATTAAGTGTATGTTTGAATTGCTTTTCGGAAGCATACTTTTTGAAATACCGGCTTGTAAACGCCTTGCCGTGATCCGTTACTATCCTATCAGGATATCCAAATAATGAGAATATTCTTTTGAGCATTCTAATTGTTTCTATTGAATTAATAGTTCTAGTAGGTTCTGCTATAACGAATTTAGAAAACGAATCGGTTACTACTAACATATACGCATAACCTTTCTTAGTCTTACAAAATGGGCCTAAATGATCAACATGTATCATTCTAAATGGTTCCGTTGGCTTAGGTATAGGATGAAGTAATCCTTCCTTCCTGCCATATATCCCCTTCCCATAAGCACAATGTAAACAAGAAGTGACATACTTTTTGATGAACCGCGACATTTTAGGAAACCAAAACTCACGTTTTATTAGATCAGTACAGCGCTTTAAACCCACATGACCAATATCATCATGGTGCATTTGGACAATTTTCCACTTCGCAAGTCCGGGAACTACTAACCGATTGCCATTTAGTGTCTTACGGTATAATCTATTATCTAACAACTCATAATTGTTGAGTATCTCGGGCTGAGCCGATCCGTTTTTCAACTGCTCCATGATATTTCTTAGTTTGTCATCCTGATATTGAATCGTATAAAACCAGTCAGCAATTTCGAGACGATTTATATTGACTGTGTCAATAGGATTCCTACTTAAAGCATCAACATGTTTCATGCGTTCGCCGGGTCTATATTCAACGCTAATGTCGTACTCTTGTATCGATAACCACCACCTAGCAATTCGCGGAATGATATCCCGTTTTGTAAGAGTGGCACGAACAGCCGTACAGTCCGTTACTACTTTCACATGTTTGCCTATGACGTACACGCGAAATTTACGCAATGATTCTACTACCGCTAATGTTTCAAGCTCATAGCTATGATAAATACTTTCTTCTTTAGAGGTTACTCGACTAAAATACATAACTGGGCGCAACGTATTATCTGATTGCAGCTGTAACAAAATACCTGCGACTCCTAACTTGCACGCATCGGTATGTATTTCTGTATGTAGTGTCGGATCATATAATGCTACCACAGGTTTAGAGCACAAACGCTTTTTTAACTCCTTAAAACTACCGTCCTGTTTATCGCTCCATACCCAAGGCACATTTTTCCTAGTTAGTTCTGTCAGAGGACGAGCTATAATTGCAAATTTGTTTATAAATTTTCGGAAGTAACTACAGAGGCCAATAAATTGGCGTACCTCGTGAACGCTTTTAGGCACAGGGAACTTTGAAACGGCATCTAATTTTGAATCTGAGGGTTGAACACCTTTTGAAGTAATTTCGTGTCCTAAGTAAGTGACTTCGTCTTGAAGAAATGAACATTTTTGCATATTTAGTTTTAAGTTTTCAGATTCGAACTTTCGCAATACTGATTCTAACATTTTTATGCCACTGTTTATATCAATAGAGGGAAGTAATAAATCGTCTAAGAATGCTAAAATCTCATTCGAGGAGCTGCCATCTGACGTATAACGGATGGAATCGACTATTTTGTTTACGAGACGCATAAAAACCGAGGGTGCATTCGCTAATCCAAAAGGAACACGTAAGTATTCGTAATGACCCTGAGGAGTAATAAAAGCTGTCTTATGGGTGTCTTCGGGAGCTAATAATAATTGATGGTAACTTTGTGCCATATCTAAAATTGTAAAATACTTTTTACCGGCTAATTTAGAAATCTGGTCTTCTATATTAGGGAGAGGATATCCATCTTTTACTGTGACATTATTGAGGGCACGATAGTCGACACATAAACGACTGTCGCCGTTCTTTTTCCTAACTAAAATAACTGGAGCAGCGTAACTCGATTCCGACTCTTTAATGATAGAGGCATCTAGTAGGTCACGAACTTTAGAATTGACAATTTGCTGCTCAGCATGCGATAACTTATAAGGTTGACGATATATTGGCTGTGGAGTCGTAAGTTTTATTTTCATTTCTAACAGTTTTGTGCAACCGAGATCTCTAGTATTTGCCGCAAAAGTGTGCTTAAATCGCAATAGTAATTGTATCAAACTACTATGTTCGACTTCATTTAACTTTCCTACACTAATTTCACTTATAGGTACTCCTCCTATGATTAAACTAGAAAGATCGTCTGTATTCAAAATAGGAGCTATAGATTTTGATTCAGGTGAGCTTTTGGCTAAGTAGGGCGTATTTGGCATGATTTTAAGTAAATTTGTTAATGGTTTGGCTTGGCTTACTCGAGTTGGCTGGTTGGCTACTTCATGACAGCTCTCGGCACGCGCTAGAACCTGGCCCGCTTCCCAGTTGACGTCCCCTGTACCACTGTTTACCACCTTCATGTAACCCTCTCCGCCGTGAAGCAACGTTGCCGGTAGAGAATATGAGACACCATGGAGTTCGTAGTGGCGTGGTGTGGTGCAAACTTCATTCCCATCTCCATTACCGACCACCCTAACCTTAATGATGGAGGCACCAGGCGGTAAAGACTCCTTGTTCAATGTAGTAACCATAAATTTATTCTTGTCTTCGACGACATCGAATTCTGGCGAGACATCTGTTTTCCGAGTCAATGTGGCTCTCCCATTAGTGACTACTAACGATACATGTTCTGCATTGATAACGGGTTGGCCAATCAGTAGGTGAATATCTTGCATGTCGGCCTCCGTCACATGTGCCGTGCATTGTATGTGAATATTATCAATTTCTAACTCAAATTCTACTACTCCACGACTAGTCAAAAAATCACCTGAAAAGCTTTTGAGCCGTGTACTTGTAGGTGTAACATCGAGCGACAAGAGACTCACCATCTGGACATTTATAACGTTAACTTGGCTTCCGGTGTCAATGTAAGACTTAATATAAATTCCATTCACCTTTGCTACCTTTTTGTAGATTTCGTTGTAGTTTTGCACCATTCTAACCTCTTTAATGTTGTCATTTGATTCCATAGAACGTCTGGAGTTGCTAGCCGAAGTGCCGGAGCAGCGAGTGGCGATGTGTCCTTGTTGACCACATTTAAAACAAATACGTTGATCCGGTAATGTACAGTTGCGCAACATGTGGCCGGTCTTCTTACAACGGGGGCAAGGATCAATTTCAGGATTGACTTTTTTATCCGAACTCGACGATTGTTTCGTGTCTTTGGTCATCATCCGAGGTTCAAATGTGGGAGAATGATAATCATCAAGAGCACAGAGGAAAGATTCATATAACTCATCAGGACGTTGGCATTGAAACGCTCGGGCATTCGGTTGTAGGTATACGGGTAAGCCTCTGATGATACACGATACACTAGCACTATCAGATAAATGGCAACGGAAGCACATAGCAATTTTGTCTTGATAATATTTGGTCATCGTCTCGTTTGGTAGCTTCTTTCTTTGCATCATTTCGTTTAATAGTAGGCTAAAGTCGCGATGTTTTGGAAAGGCTCGTACCAGCATATGTTTCCATTCGGCCCAGGAGTAATCGTAGTTTTCAAGTCTGTTGTACCATTTGCGAGCTTGACCACGTAATTTATCCTGCAGGTAAAAAGCTTTGATTTTCTCGTCCCACCCATGTATGTCTCCTAATTGATCAATCTTCTTTAACCACGAAGTTACGGTGCAATCTTCACCATCGGGATCGAATTCGGGAATAAGGGATGCTGCACGATGACTCTTGACGTGGTTGAACGAAATAGTGTCGTCATTAAGGTTGTGAATTGCTTTTTCGACTTCATTTTCTAACAATGACTTCAATATTTTTCTTGCAGGTGGAAGTGAATTATTTTCTTCCTCGTCACTATCGTCTTGATTTTCGCTCCATCCTGGAGGGCGGACACTGCACCCAGCTTCGTTAGGACGACTGCGCTTCATATCCCACTTCTGAGTGAAACGGGAGGACAATAATTATACACACTTTAGTTTAATCTGGCGTTTATTACTTTTCACACAATCCCGTAGGTACACTATCAGAGATTCCTCTAGCACTCCGTCACGAGAGAGATCCTCTCCTTCCAGGGTATCTTCTCTCAATCCCCCTGCAATTCCAAAATTAAACGAGGTGACGCCACTGACGCTCTCGCTGATTGGTCAAACGCTATGATTGGCTAAGCTCTGTGATTGGCTAAGACAGTTTCGGCGGCATACTGTCATGGCAATACTTCCGCCTGGCTCAGGCGGTGGCTTGGCTGGGCTTGGCATGGCATGGCACTTATGGCATGGCGTTACAGTAGTAAATGTATTTATAAGAAATCAAATATTTTATTATCTCCCAATGGCAGTATCACCAGTTTTTACAGTCGTAATTCTAATATTAACCGAAGAATGAATCTAAAATTCTCGTCATTCTATGTATTCACCGCTCGGGTGCCGAGTCCATCGTTGCAGGGAGCGGAGCTTCAACAGTGTATTTTTAAGGAGCCCCGAAGCATATAAGAAGCAGTAAGGAGGATAAAAAATACTTTTTTAAAAATAGTAATAACTACATTAATTAAGTGTAATTATGTTATGTATGATATATTCTACAAAGATAATTTATTTATAATGATCGATCAAATTTCAAGTGCCAGAATATAAATTTGACACAAAATAATAAACGTTTATAATTTATTGTTAATGTCATGAATATGAAGGGGCTCGTGGGCCCCGACACTGACAGATATGGAGACATGTAAATAAAATTGTTTTATAATTGATGTCATCTGAAAAGAACGTGTTTAATAAAGCTCGATAGTCACCGAAGGAACAGATTACAGACAATTACTATATAATATACTCATTACAAGTACCTAATACATTAGCTTATATGATGAAATTGGTAATTAAAAGCATTTTGAGATGATATTCCTATGCTTATATAATTAAGCAAAAGATACCAGTTTACAGTCGTATTTATCTTTGTAACACGATATTATAAGTAATGGTTGCTTCACTTTGCTCTGATATTTTCTCCTCATAAGTTATTATAATAGACAAAATTTCCCTACTCAATGATAATTATTAGATTCTACTACATTTAAGATTATAACTATATCAACTAAAACAGTTCTTCAACTTCATTTCTGATAATATCTATATATGACTAGATAATCCCCTTTGTATTGAAAATGATTTAATTAATGTTGCGTGTTGTAACTGCTGAAATAGGTGTTTTATGTTATTAATTTAAACAATTGAAATGAATTATTTACTTTATTGTGTAACGATTCAATATAGCGAATACATTTTAATGACAAGATGATTTATATGTTTACTTCATTAATGTTAAAGGTGGCATTGTTTTAGTGACGTTAGGGAATTCGTGCACCTTCGAATTTTGTTTCCATTAATGGCTGAGAATTCATGCTACAGTCAATAATATTCTCAAAATATTCTTGTACTTGTAAAAACAAGTTTCAATTTATTTTGTGGTTTATGTTAAATTTATATAATGAAGGTGTTTTGTAACTTAACTCACAGCGATATATACACATACATGTAGTGTAAATAATATTTTTCCTGTACGTAACAATCTAATCTTTCTAATTACAGTATACATCAACACCACTGACGAGAACTAACTATGTTAGCGAGCACGGTGCTTCAAGGAAAAGTAACTCTGTTACGGTTCAATTGGAATCTAGACCGCATCACGAGAATTTAATAAAATAATATGTTCATAACAACAAGGAATAATTATATACCGTCATACCTTTTATTTGATTAAAATAAAGAAGAATTAGAAATTAAACTGTGTGAATAAAAAAACAATTTTGTAACTATGTTTATAAGCTGTAATTGTATTTTTTAATACTATTTACGAATACTGTTGTGACCTTTCAAAACTTATGTATGATGATCAAAGGTTCATTTCTGTGTACAATTTCAAATAACTGTCGAATAACATTAAACCTACAAAAATTATTTTGTTGATGTTCTTTTTATTGTGTCAGAGTTAATAATATGAATGTTTAATTCTATATTAAGAATTGATAACACACGACAAGGGTCGTACAAACAGTCAACCTTTATCATTGACACAGCTTACGTCCTTTACCTTATGTTCGAGGTACAGTGTCAGACTTGATACTTAATGTAAGGCGTTTATTCTAGTAATATACTACAAATTTGTTAAATAACTTGATAACCAAGCATTGCCCTTAAAAAATTAACTTAAAACTTGAGGCGCATCGTTTATAAATAGTAAAATAATTATCACTTAAATGAATGAGATGTACAATATATAATTCATTTGTATAAGAGCAAAATAAATTGGCGTGTTAATGTTACAATACTTTAGGCGTATAATGCTTATGAAGTTAATTAATGTATGTTTGTGTTGTAAGCAGAATATGGAAAGTAGAATTTTAAAGCAAGTTTAACACATGCCGTAACGAGTGAACCTGGTCTTTAATAATATTATAACGCCTAATTCTACGCAGCTACATAAATTTCAAAATTCACTCTTATTGGTTTAATTTACATACAAAAAGACACTGTTTACAAAGTTCCATCGAAAAATGCTGTGTTCTGTATAATGTTTTGACGACGGCCTAAAAAACCAATTGACATAAAATTTAAGAATGAAGAATATTGTTTCACATAATGAAACTACGATGTAACATGCTGATAATATAATTATAGAAAGGTGCTTTTAAAATATACAATAGTTTTTTAATGTAATAATTATAATAAACAAGTTTTAATGCCTTTTATTAATTTTTATTTCGATTGACATTTTATTTTTTATTCTTCTTCTAAACAGGGACAACTAAACTCCTAGATGATGGACTTTTAAAAGCATTTTAAATTGAAGCATGATATTTAAATATGTACATTAATATGTAGATTCTACTCTTCTTTATTTATCTTATATTCTTTATTTATCCTCTAAAATTAAGGTAGGATCAGTGCTAATGGACCAAATGCATCGCGGGAGATGTAATAATACGATTATTCTTCTTATAGGGATAAAAGTGCTTTTAAATTTGATACAGGAAAATTTTGGTCTTATGCTGAAAGTCCAGTAACCTCTTCTCTTAGTACGAGTAAGGATAGAATCCACGAAGTTTCTCCAGTAACGAAAAGTTATCAATCATTACTTATAAAATTATTTTTGTAATCTGATATGATGCAACTATTTATTTGATATTAGACAACCAAAGGCTTTGAGAGGTTTATCAAGAAGCGATCAGGTTTTAGTACTAATTATTAATATTTTTATTGTCAAACGATAACTCTGAGATCTTTTTTATACGAACATGTCTGTTTAAAATGATCTGATTTAATTTCAGGGTGGTAACTAAAACTAGCAATCATACATATTAAGTCTTGTATCAAATAGGTTTAGAATATTTTTTTAAAGAAAATTTTATTGTTTTATTCAAATATTTACCAACAATATTTTAATTATAATAAAATGTATTGGTCTCTAAACCATTTTATATAACAAATATATTTTTGTTGTTTGATGAAGACACTTTTACTTGTTTCATAGGTTTTAAATTGGTGTCGGCACATTTAATACAATTTGAATAAATTTTGAACATAAGGTACAAATTTTGTTTTATTTATAAACTCGGACAGCAAATAAAAGGTATCGTTAGCCTAGCTTAATAAAATAGCATTATCTGGAACAGTAAGTCTTAGGCAGTTTTAGATTTCAATAATATGTTTATATTGAATTAATTTCATAATATTAATTAATACAATCTCAAACATTATGAATGATATTTTCTATTACTTTTGATATTTATGACATTAAAAATTAAATTGTCGTGTATTTTATAACACTATATTAAAATAGTGCATTGTGACAAGTTATTGTCAACTATCTGGATGATATTCAAGAAATAGTACCTTAAAATAGACTCACGTCTGCTTTCCTATATATTAACTAAATACATCGAAATTTTCTGTTTCAGCTCAGATTTTCCTGGTTATATTTCATAACTTTTCTTATATTTCTGAAATATTTTGGGCAACGTTACGTAAATGGTTTCTACAAATGTACATACATTGTCTCTCAATGAAAACAGAAAACCTTCTGTTTCTATATTATTACAAAAAGGAAAATATATAACACCTTTGGTATGTGAAAGTGGTTCTCATAGCTTTGTCATACATTTACTTCGCATCCTTAAATAAAATTTTAATTTTCTTCGAGCAGTAGAAAAAATCACAAGATATTAATATAATTGGTTCATAAAAAAATGCTAAACAGTTTTAGTTTGTTTGATAAGGCAAAATTTATAAATGTTCATATATATAAAATAATATCGGTTTAAAAAAATATAATATTTATATAATATTTTGAATATTATATTTTTAATATAATATTATTAAAAATATAATATTTTGAATAATCTCACCATTAATCTTCAGGTGGAGGTTAATTATGTTTTAGTTTCAATGTTAAGATCGTTACAACATTAGATAATAACTCATTTTAGAAAGTAACAAAACAACTTTCTGTTGTCTAAACTCCCTCAAACTTTTAATCAAATATACGACCTCCAATGAAAATATTACCAATATTGTTCAAGTACGAAAAAGCAAATAACAAAATTATCATTATTTCAGATTCAAAACTTGGGTCTTTACACAGTCGTTTGATATAAAGAGAATTTATATTTAATGTTTGAATTAAATTTAATAATCAAATTTTGTAGAACACGAAATAAGAGTGAATACAATCGTCTTCGTAACAGAATCTAGTTACCGTAAATAGGTTCGTCATCGTCTTTGATATGTAATTAGATTACAATAAGAGAAATAAATAAAAACTCAAGGAACCCACTATTAATTTCTTATCAAGGGAAACCTTTGTATTGAAAAAAGAAGTCATCAAGCTTAATATGTCAGAAGAGGTTCATCTTTAAGAGAACGTGCTGGAC